GATTAAAATTAATATAAAAATTATATAGTAAATAATTTAATTACTTAACTTTGAATCTTAATATTTTTATAACTACTAATTCAATTTTTATAAAATTTAAAATATATATTTATCAAATCTAGAGTAATTTATTTATATAATTTGAAATTTTAATATTATAAATTAATAGTATAAATATTTAAAATATCTTTTTTTTAAAAAATAATTTTATTTTAATTTTTTTAGTAAAGCAATACTTTATTTATTATTGAATTAAAATATAATAAAATAGCTAAAATATTATAAAAAGTTAATTTAAATCATTTTTTTATTTAATATAAAAAAATTATAAAAATTAATTAAAATTTGAATGATTTTTATAATAAGATATAAATTTTTTTGTATTAATTCATATATTTTTATATTATTTTTTGAATTTTTCAATTATTAATTAGAATTAAAAAGATCTTTTTATAATTATATCTTTTTTTAATTATTTAATTTTGATTTTTCAAGTATAATGATAAAATATAAAAAAAATTTAAAAAAAGATATTTTAATAAAGATTAAAAAAATAATATTCTAATTATAATTATAAAAATTTTATTATTTAATTTATTATATCTAGATAAATTAAATAATAATATTTTTTATATAATTCTAATTATTATATTGTATTATATTTAAAAATTATTATATATAATTCTTATTAATTTATTTAAAATTTTAAATTATGATAACTCATTTTATTATACAAAGAATTGAAATTACAAGAAAATATCATTATTTAATTTATCTAAATATAATAAATTAAATGGTGATATTTCATATTAGATATTAAAATATTATACTTTATTATAATATTCTACTAAGATTTAGTATTTAATGAAATCATTACTATTTAATAATTCATTATTTAATAATAATAACTTGAAAAGATAATTAAAAAATATAATATATATAATTAAATCTTAGATTTAGAATAGATATTTAAATTATCTCAAGAAATATCTTGAATTCAGATCAAAATCATTCAAAATATTTATTCATGATATTCAAAAAATCTATCCAAATTGTATTAAACAATATATTATTAATAATACTTAAATACTTGAATCAATTTTTATTAAAGATTTTTTTTGAAATTTGAATTTGAACTTGAATTCAGCCCAATTCAAATGTCCAAAAATCTAAATATCTATCCTGAATTAAGATGAACCAAATAATAGTAAAATCATACAAACCAGACCAATACATATACTAAAAATATGTGATCTATATAACGTCCAGTGACTTTCTTCTGTTGAGTGTATTTGTTATTTCATGCAGGTATAATATTGAAATACCAGGGCAAATTACTTATTTTTCTCCAAATAGCTAATAATCATTAAGAGAAAAACTCGAATTGGCATTCAAAACAGACAAATATATTTAACACAGAATGGCTTATATCAAAATTGGATCATAATAAACATAATCAGTTTTTTTATATTAATTTTGCATTTAAACTCAACTTTCCAGCCATTATTACAAACAATACTCTAGATCATTACATCAGGGATTTATAATATTGAAAATCTTAGTGCTCTGCACCGGTCGGGTTATTTAACCTAATCCGAGTGATAATCATTATTTAATAATACATGTACCTTTTTTTCGATCCGGGTGATCATTTCGATAATCCGTGACTTAAATTCTATGAATACGTGTAGATTTTTTTTCACATTACGTGACTTTGCTTATTTGTAATGACCAATTCTGATAATATGATCTTAAAAATGAAAAGCTTCACATAGTTTGCATCGTGAACTTTTAATGGATTTTTGAAGACAAAGATCGCCATCAGAACATAAAAATGCAAAAACTCATTGAGAAGGTAAGTATTTTAACTGTTCATAAATATTTTTAAAAAAGTTATATATGACGTATATTATTAATTAATAATATCACTTAAAATTCCAAAAGCAATAAAATTCAGAACAAATTATCGTAGACGATTTTATAGAGAAACTCCATCTAAAGTATATAAAACTTCGTAATAACTTTTTTATTATTATTATCATATTTAATATTTAATGATTTTCGATAATTGCTGATAATCCCAATAGAACAATTTTTTCTGGTGGAACTGATTTTGATATCAGTCTTAAAACAGATTCAATTCGTAATTGTAAATGTTTGAAATTCTGGTGGGAAAAAGAAATATAAGCTAGAATTAATATATCCAATTGATTACATTGCGCGAAATTTTTTTTATATTTATTATTTTTAGCAAAGTTCGAGTCTGTCGAAATAAACTATAATCAAGTCACCCTATAACGACATTTTGATCATTCAAATGATCAAAATGATTTCGTATATCATAAAGTCCCGATCCCCTTCCTTTTGATCCAAAAGTCTTGAAAAATTTGAATAAGCAATCCCTTTTTAATAATTAATTTTTTCAAAATTTACTTATATTTTATTTATTTTCTAATTTTAATTCTTCAGCTGATCTTTGGAGTTTGCATTTAGAAGTAATTGAATTTTTAACTCGTTATGTTATTTAACATACATGTATGATTTCGCATACATGTTCTTTGGGATTGCTGAATCTGGAATATGATCTTCGATGCACCTGATCCTAATACATGTATATTTGTGTAATATTACTAGTTCCCAAAAATAGCAAAAATGGTAATTTCTCATCAAGTTATTAGTTTCGAATAAATTTGGTATCATTCGATTAATTCGCAGCGATTTAATAAATTGAATGAGATCGAAATCATTCGAAGCGGATCATTGAAACCTGATATATTACTATTTTATGAAAAACGATTCATTGAAAATGTAAAGATTTTTTCAATAAAATCTAACACGGGAACCAGCGATTTGATTCGTATGATTTTGATTCGTAGTGATGAGACAAATCGAATGACATTAATATTAGATCACTGGTTCCGAGATATTCAATGAGACAAATCGAATGACATTAATATTAGATCACTGGTTCCGAGATATTCAAAGAAAAATACTTCTTTACAAATCGCAAAGAATTTTATGGCAACTTTGGCAAGGGGAACCAGCGATCAATTTCATATTAAAATCTAGATCACCACTAGATATGAAGGTTTAGATTTCTAATGCTCCAAAGAAGTCGAATCGGGTCGGGTTTGGGATTCGACCGAGTATTAAAGATTAAAAAAATACTCATGTTGGCATTTATATAACCCGAATTTGACTAAGTTACGTATGTATAACTTTAGTTGTTCATAATTATTAATTTTATTCCAATACAGACAAACCTCTCTAAATGAACTCTGTAGGAACCGTGCACTAATAGAAAATATGCATTAAAGAGGGTATTTATAAAATTAAAACTCGAGACCAGACCAGAAGATGCATTTAGGGATGTTTATACATGTAATGTTATTACAGTATAAAATCATCGTCTGACATGAGTGCAAGATATGACATATTAATGACATTTCGGTTCGAGATACAAGCTATTTCCTATAATTAGGGTATTAACCTGACACGCAAACATAAATTAATTCCTCAATACTGAATAACTTTATTTTGCAAGTGTAATCTTATAGTGTTGGTCGCACAGTGGCTCTTGGCTAAGCCAGAAGTTGTCAAGTTGTGTCGCGCAAATGATATTGACGCCGAACTATTATATTGTTTAGTTTGAGATTAATACTTAAACCTATTGATTATTATTAGAATTTGCAAATTTTGAAGAATCAAATTATCAAAAATTTGACGTAACGGTAAGAATGTATAACGATTAGGTATAGCTTTATTTTTACGTAATGTAGGAAGGAAACTTATCATTTTAGAACTGTACAAAAATACATGTATAATGAAAATTCAATCGTTAATTATTTTATTGTTTACAGAAAAAACATTATTCAGAGAGCAAATATAATAAAAATTCCGTATACAAAAGAAGACTAATGATATCAATTCATAAATATAAATTAATCTAGTTTAGAGATATGTGGTGAATGTGTTGGCAGTAGCATCATTCCTACCCAAAGTACCCAAATTCCAATTGTTTTCCAATGTTTTGATAATTGAATAATGGGTAAGAGATGTAGAATCAGTATGGGTACCCGATTGAACAGGAGTACCAAGAAGACTAGCAAAGACTTGATTCGAGCCCGATGCAGATTCATCAAAGATGATCATGAACAATGTGCCAGTTGTAAAATTTGCATTCGTAAGCCTCGATTCGAACCAGGGTTGGAACCAATTCATTGCATAAGTTAAACTGGTGTCATGGCCATCGTTATCTAGGTTTGGTACGTAATAGGAGAATTGTGGCATGCTATTTGAAGCTAGGTCAGTATCAAGTTGGTTGGCATTGACGATCTTTGCACAGCGTGTGGGGTTGGTGCTGATGTCTGACATACAGATAAACGGATTGTGCTTTCTTACGTAAAGCCCAGATTGCAAACCTGTGTAACAGCTGCCAGCTAAACAATACCATGGGATTATGGAATAGAAATTTTAGTCTATATGCCAAATAATGCAAACTGAAGGACGGAGAGCACTTACGATAGTCTTGCATGTAACCCTTCCAGCTAACTCCTTTTGCTTCAAGAAGGTCAACTAAATTAGTTCCGGATACGTCATGCAAATTATCGTCAGTAATACCAGCGGTTGAACCATAAAGCGTTGCAACATAATTGGGCTGGATAAAAGCAATCATGATTTGTTACATTTACGGAATAGAATTCATCATTAGAATCAAGACCAACAAAGACAAATACCTCAGATGGATGTGAAACAGCGAAATAATTATTAAGAAGAACACTATTGGAACGGGTTGTCAAGCTTTTCAGATACGTGTTTTTTATCGCAGTGGCGTAGTTGGTATTCTCGAAAACTATAATAAAGAAGCGATCAAAATATGTTCCTGGCACAAGGGCCGTCGTCATACCAATAATGGCTGCGAAAATGGTCGTAAATGCGATTAACTTCATCATCTTTATTAGAGGAAAAAGAGTTTGAGTATAGATTTCGTTTCAGTTTAGAAGCGCTTGCTTTTATAATGTTCGCAAACAGAGCGTTATTAGACAAGCCAATCATTGAGGTAAACGGCCGCACCAGGCTTGAAGGCTGGCAAAAGTCATTAATTTTGACAAATATGGCATGTGCTTTATTATTACCGTTACGCATTAGATAATCATGTATTGTTCGTAAGACATTAGATGAATTTTTAATTTACATGGTTACCGAGTTGAGGTTGCATATTGTTTTCGTTCCACTATGATGATCTATAAACATCCGATTAATAGATTCTACATAAAAGTTTGAAATGAAGCAAATACAAATGTGGTGTATACCTTTTTTGTTTCTAGCGGAGGTTTATAATTGATAATTTGTTTATAAACGTGGTAGAGATAAAAACGTGATAAAGATGAAATACCTTTTGGCGAATTAGCGAATTAGCATTGTGAATTCAAAAACGTTCTAAACTATAAACATGAGGCTGCTTTGTTTGTTTCTTATATTGGAAATTTTAAGAATTCTAGAAAACGATAAGGTTTACTAAACTTTTTAAAAATTGAATGGTCACGGACACTTTTGATACATTAAAAAACCTTTTATTTACAGCATACATGTATTATGCATCGAAGCCTTTTGATCGAATTCGAATTGTTTTGTAGTTATGTATGAGAACGACATGACATTATTGTTATGACTACAGTACTTCGTAAGAATCTTGTTCTTTGTCAGAAGAAAGTGGGGTAACGACTTTATTAAGTAAATAGACAATGATAAATATTTTTTTTCATAGAACTGATTACATCGCATATATTTTATGTATTAAACAACAAAAATGCGAATCTGAATAACTTTTAACCCATTAAATTCTATAGTCATATCATTATTTATTGGAAGTATACGATTTTTCATATATTTACGTAGATTCTTCAGTTCGATAATCCATTACGAATTTTGAATTCAAAATTAATAATAAAAACACCAAAATCGGTTGTGACCCTTTCAATGCACGGATTCATTTTTTCTTTCTTTATATTTTTGTGTATTACCAACCAAAACTCTTTAACCATATCAATTATGACATCAGTTGTCTTCATTGGAAATCAATTTTAAGAAAAGAAAAAAATTTATCTGCATCAATAGGATTCATTTTACCAATGTGACTTCTTCCTTGTCTTCAAATGGAAATTTACAAAGAAGAATCCGGCTTCATAAAAATACCGGACAGTTGTAGAACTTTTGTTTAATAAGAAAAATCGGCTTAATAGAAACGCCGGACAGCTGCAGAATTTTGTTTACAAAGAAACCCGGCTTGATAGAAATACCGGAACATTTGTTACATAGCTATATACATTAATTGCTTAACTTGCTGCTTGTTCTCAATTAGCAATTCTTTTCTCCAGAAGGACGTTTCACGATGTTCAAAACAAGATTGTTGATGCTTAAGTTATCAATCCTGTACTGTATAAATATTACAAGATCCAAACGCAAAAGAAAAAGTTTGTAAGCAATTGCGTTTTATGTTTTCCAATAGTTTTGTAAATGCAACATGTTTAGTCTTAAACGTGTACACGTTCGTAATTGATATTCAAAAATCGATGTGGACTTGCAACTCATTTTGAACAGAGGTTTTTATTTTAGAAATTTTTCATGGATATTTAGAAATGTATAATAACACATTAGGCATGTCGAAAAAATTGTATTTGGCCAAATCAGTGTTGGCCAATGACCTTTATGACCATCATAATAATTTGATAATAGGAAATGTTTTCTATTATTGACCAAAAATCGTATGATTATATGAACAAGGCCATATTTAAAAAATGGTATTGTATAATAGTGGGTCAAATGTATCTCCTTGTCAGTTAATAAAAATTAATCATTCTGTTCTAAAGTG